TCGTTTTTGTTGATAATAATGTTCATTTTAAGCTGGTAATTCAATAATTGCTTGAAACACAGTTTTACACGACGTAAACGCTTTTAAGTAATTTTATTCATAAAAAATCTAGATATGGCAGCACTGCTGATGAACATTTTGAAAGTTATTGTGAGGAATTACTCATCTTACAAAGAATTGTCATTTGTGGTGTCATTAGCAAAGAAAAAATGGTCAAAGAGTTTTCTCAGCTGCATTGTTGAACGATATATTTATTGCGTATATTTCCAAGTCATTTAATAAGCAAAAAAGAAATAAATTGTATATATCAATAACCACAAACGAAATTTAAAAAAACGAGATGAACGCGGGTGTTGAAGCACAAATAACAAAATTACTATCAAAAGTAAATTAATTGTTTTATGTTTTAATTAAATTCATTTATACATTTTTTTTAATACAATATAGTATCAAAATGCGGCTGCAGCAAAAAGGGATGTATTGCTGGTGGTAGCGAATTACCGCAGTTTATCTTACAAACTACAACAATATGGTATATATTAATAATAACAATCAATTTCTATGTTCCTCCCCGCAATTGTCTTTCACAAATGTAAAATCACTCATTGTTTTTGTTTACAAAACTAGGGGAGGAGACAATAGAGAAAATTTGTCTGATGACAAATAATTTGATTAAATGAAATTAAGTTAATGTTAAATATAATTTTTCTTTATTAGTTTTTAATGATGGCTCTGCAAAGGATTTATTCTGTTTGGATGGAACTATTCCAGTGGTTTATAAAAGTAAGTCTTACAGTAAAAAAGAAAAACAAACTGAAACTAAATAAAAATTATTTTATAAGATAATACATATTACATTCCAATTTGTATATGGTTAATGGACACACATCCTAACAATGCACCAATTTGCTTCGTAAAGCCAACACCAACAATGCAAATTAAATGCTCCATGTATGTGGATTATAATGGAAAAATATATTTACCTTATCTGCACGATTGGCAACCTGTGAGTGAATTAAATTGTGAACAAAGTAAAATAAATCTAATAAACTAAACTTTTTTAGCATACATCTGATCTAGTGTCACTTATACAAGTAATGATTTTTACTTTTGGTGATCATCCACCGGTTTATTCGAAGCCTAAAGAGCAAGTGGCGCCTTATCCAGCTTCCAGTAAGTTAATTTCATTAAAGTATTATATTTATTAAATTACTTCATACAATAGCATTTATGCCACAACCAGGTGGCAGTGGCGCTGGCACCGGTTATTTACCATACCCCACAGCTGGTGGTAGCGGTGGTGCTTTCCCACCATATCCTACTAGAAATAATTTTGGCTCCTATCCACCTTACCCAACGCCGGGCAATGTTAATCCTGGCCCAAATGCAAGTGGTTACTCAGGCTATATGAATTTTCCAACAGTTCCTGGATATAATTCTGGATATGTATGCATATTATTATTTCAATTTAATATTTGAACGTAAAGAGTGTGTTTGTTAAAATTTTTGTTAGAATCCTACAAATCCCGGCTCTACAGGTACAATCACAGAGGAACATATAAAAGCATCTCTCATAAGCGCTGTTGAGGATAAGCTGCGACGCCGTTTGGAGGAGAAAGTTAACCAATATCAAGCAGAAATTGATACACTGAATCGTACAAAGCAAGAGTTGGTAGAAGGTAGTACTAAAATTGATGCAATTATTGCACGTTTACAACGGGAAGAGGTAAGCATCATTACAACTTGTTTGATCATTGATTTATAAATTAATACGTTTTTAATTTGTTAGGTTGAAATGCAGAAAAACATCAATATTTTACGTGATAAAGAACAGGAATTAGAGAAGAGTTTAGAATCAATGGAAAATTCTGAAGGAATTGATCCAGATGAAGCAGTAACCACCACAGCACCTTTATATAGACAGTATGTCCTGTATACAATAATTACTTTTTTATATATTATGTGTATTTATTGTAGATTACTGAACTCATATGCAGAAGAAGCTGCTACTGAAGATGCCATATATTACTTAGGTGAAGCGCTGCGTAGTGGCGTAATTGATTTGGAAACATTCTTGAAACATGTACGTCAACTATCTCGTAAGCAATTTATGCTGAGAGCTGTCATGCAAAAATGTAGACAAAAAGCGGGACTTGCTGGTTAGTGTTTTCGACAATTGGCATTGAATTGATGTTAAAATAAAATAAAATTCACTCATATTGATATATATTAAATTTTATCATATATATATATATATACTCTATTAACATTAGTTACTGCAATTTATAATTTAATAAAATTGTTAGGTTTTGCTAAATAAAATTACTTTCTATTTAAATATATTTTGTCTGAAATGACAATGTATCCATTTTAAAGTAAAAAAATGGTTCATGGTGAGACATGTTTTATGAAAAATTATTTTAAATCATATAATATGGTTGACCATACAAATGTTTCGAATACCTGCTAATATCCATTTTCAGTGGTATTTGAAAGGACTTAGTTTAATTAATTTGGTTTGGTCTGCAAGACGCAGACCACGTTTAATTTCCATTATTTAATTTTGAAATTTTATTGTTAACTTTTGTTATTACTTTCTGAGAAATTGTATTATGGAAACACGTCATCTGTTGGTATTGTAACCACATGTCGGCTTTATAGGGAAAGGGGAAATATTTTAACATACAAGTGTAAAATTGATTGTATAGCATTTGTTTTTGTAACCACAAGTGAACCTTATAGGCAATATTTTAATATGCAACTGTAAAATTGATAACATTTATATACAAATATAAATTTTTATTAGAGTACGTAAAAACAGTCTCATATCAGAAACGATTGCTTACAAAACTATTTTTAGAAATCCTCAGTTGAGTTTCTTTCCTGTTCTATCTTGGGAGTAGTGAGAAGCACTTGGTCATCTGTAAAAATAAATGACTACCACCTTCAATTTTTTTGTCATAGTAAAAAACTGATAAGAATAGTGAGCATCAGCTGAAAACTAATATACATATATGTACGATGATATAAATCATCTTACATACTTATAAACAAATGTTGTTGTTATAACCCACGGGACCTGTTTGTAAAATCCCTTTGGTTGGTTCTGAACGGCACTTAGTTGTCGGAACTGACAAGTGTCGCAGACCTGGCCGATCTCGAACACTTTATAAACAAATACAATACTTTATTTGAGTACATAAGAAATTGTCTCATATGAGAAACGAAATCACAAAATTATTTTCTGATACCTGCGATTCTAGTCCACGATCATCAACATATGTAGCTGAATAAAATCATTATAATTCCGAAAAACTAAAAACACAGTTCATTGTACTTTAAAAATTATTAAATTTTTATATGATAATAATTAAAAGTATTCTTAAAGTACAACCTGGCATAGTGACCTGATCGTCTTCCCCGGTTATAACTTCCAAATCTAAAAAAAAAAAATGTTTTAATACACTGACTTATTTATACCTATTTTCAAATGTAATCAATTGTAGACTAATTGAATGGTAAGTATCTAATAGGCCATACTCAAATGGTTGGATTATCACTTTAACTAACCGGGTGCAGTGATTCATATAACCTAATGATTAATATCTTAGGTGCGTATCTAGTTTACAAAAAAGACGAAAATGGATTTAAAGATTTTTATATACATATCTCAATTTCGGACACCAACAAGAAGGCAATTCTACAAGAGTCGTCATCAATTAAGTTTATTCTGGTTATTTTAAACAGAATCTCCTACAGCTGCGTACCTGTTTGATTCTTGTAATAAATACAGAAAATTCTGTTGGGTAAAGTAAGCCTATCCTATCCCATAAGATTGCGATGTTTTTTTTAAACATAATTTCTTACATCTGCGTACCTGCATGATTCTAGTAATAAGTCCAAAAAATTATGTTGTAAAAATTACAGAAATATACGAAATTATGTTTTGATTCACAAAATAGCAATATTTATTTCTAAGCAAGTTTAGATCTTACAAACACCGTTTAAAATACTGATTGATTTAATTCGCTACTGAAGCTTAGATAGCATGCTTCGTTGGGAGAAGGGAGCTGCTTTTAGTCCTCTGTAAAAACAAGCGACTCCGAGATGTTTGATAATTACCCTGATTTCATTTGCTACTGACGCTTAGACAATTGGTGTTCGTTGAGAGAAGGGTCTGTAAAAACAAGCGACTCCGAGATGTTTGATAAATACCCTACAAGATACTAATTGATTTCATTTGCTACTGAAGCTTAGATAGTTGGTCTTCGTTGAGAGAAGGCAGCGGCTTTAAGTCGTCCATAAAAACAAGCGACTCCGAGATGTTTGATAAATACCCTACAGGATACTAATTGATTTCATTTGCTACTGAAGCTTAGATAGTTGATCTTCTTTGGGAGAAGAGAGTCGCTCTTAGTCATCTGTGAAAACAAGCGATTCCGAGATCTTTGATAAATACCCTAAAGGATACTAATTGATTTCATTTGCTATTGAAGCTTAGATAGTTGATCTAGTTGAGACGGCTCCCTTCTTAGTCCCTTCTCTTAGTCATCTGTGAAAACAAGCGACCCCGAACTTCTGGATCATAATGAAACTCCAATTATCATAGCTATCGTCAGCTAACCATCGCTATTATTTCAAAAAGTACATTTGACCACGATTAAAATTTATTTTACTGTGCCTTTACTTTACACTACTAAATATTAAAACACTTTTTAAACAATTTTATTAAACGTTCGCATTCAAAGATTGTTCAGCGCTATAACGTACTGCATGCATTTTGTTTAATAACTCTTTATAGTATTTTCAGAACATTAATGTACTAACAATCACTTTTATTAATTAATGTAGTTTTATATATAAGAATAATTTTCTAAGTATTTAAAATTTAAATTTTTTGTATATTTATTGAATTTATATTTAATGTGTAAAATTATAATTGGAATTGAAATTATTTATATGTTTACAAATAATCTTTTTAAATATGAGTGCACATTTTTTAAATTATATTAAAAGCAATATAATTAATCTTTTCATACTTATTTATATATAAATTCCTACTGCTAATAACAAAAATACCACACCGACGCCCAGAAAAACAGAAGCACAGAAACTTATTAAGAGCTCTTTAAACAGAGTTTTTTCTTTTGAATTTTTAGGGCGTGAGACAACGAAAATAAAGAACCATGCTGTAAAAAATGTTCCAATGCTTAGTAGAACTAATGCTGAATGCGGATAAACAGCGGGATTTATCGGTGAGACATAGCGTTGCATTGTATCCATTCTGCAAAAAAAAAAAAATCAGATTCGTAATTCATCGTTCATCTCTCAATTTTTTCGTTGCAAATTTGAACAAACAAGAGCAATCACTTTTAAATAAACAATATACATTTATTTTATTTACCTATTAAATTTTGTTTTAATTGATAATAATAAATAAATCTACGTGGCCCGGCAATGTGAACTACTAGTAGTCTTGACACTTTTGACAACTTATCAATTTGTTAAACGAAGAACCATGGCAGAGTTATTAGATTTGCCAACTAACATCAATGATAGATACGAAACGTATTAGACAGGTATGTGTCGTAGCAAACTATTTTTAACGTTACGTTTTTAGTACAACGATTTACCAAAATATGTTTAAAAATCTTTGATTTTATACCGCGAAATTTTCTTGTTTTTTCTCAGGGCATATGAATGTAGAACTCATTTTAGTTAGATATTACTTACTAATTACTCTACTTTTGTCTAATGACGTATCTAGCTTGAAATAGCATTTATTTTAACAAATTGTTACTTTATTAAGTCCTTGGGCATGTTTACGCCGGCCTTCAGAGAGACAAATATATTCAAAGCTTCGAAATTATAGTTGTCAACAATAATATATTTTCCAATATGCTACAGAAAGCACTTTTTGTTTTGTTTTTATTTCTTTCACTTTTATTTGAAATTAAATTGCCTTTCGCTTTTTAGGGTTTGAATAACAGCTAACAGTTGACAATAACTATAATGTACTCAATTTTAAATATTAAAATTAAAATTTAATTTTTAAATATATTATAAGACTCGCATAAACAAAGCATCTGTTATAAATTTGGACGTTACATCAATAGCATTTAACATTCCATAATTAATTTTGTAGAAAGGTTTCGAAAAATAGCGAACTACAAAAACAAAAATTATTTTTTAGTTCACTACTTTTCGAAACCGTCTATCAAATATGCTAATTTTTATTAAATATAATAGTCAATTTCATCATAACTGCTGTTAAATTACAACTTATATAATTCATTTTGTACAATTTCTTCATGTATATAATCAACATCTGCATTATGTTGAGCCTAGTTGAGTCAATGCGCTTGATAACTTTTACTCTTTATTAACTGCCTCCCAGTTTCTTCATAACTCCTCTACGCCTTGACTGGATTATAGTTTACCAATTCTTCAGGCCTCAGAGCTGCATATGTCTACATACATCACATTTTATTTAATACAACAGTATTGTTCTAAAAATCTCAATTATCATTGTTTTACATTTTTAAAGTCATTGAATATGTCAATATATATAGTTGGCAACGCTATTCCTAATGTAACCACATTCTTTCATGAAGAAAAACAAAGCAGTTGGGATGTAAAAATATAAAAATTTTGTAAAATAACTATTGGATATGGAGGAAATAGAAAATGATGACCTGGATGAACTGGAAGCACATCTGTATGCACAAATCCATCATGATTCAGTCGACACAAATGATAAACTCTCCGAACAACCATCAATAAATCAATCGCAATTTCAAGATGAAACTCAACAGGACCGCCATGAGATCGAGTCAACTAAAGCAGTCGGTGATCAAACAAACGATATAAATCTAATAAAAAATAACACGAGCTCAGTTGAAGAAACAAACGCATTTACAAATAAAAATTTCACAAAAGAACCAACAGTACAAGCGTCTTGTAGTGCTAATGCAGGTATGTTTAATAAATGAAATATTGTTGATTAAATGTTATAATGAAAAATTTTTAATAAAATTAGATACATTACCTACTAATACTACATTAGTAAACAAAAATGTTGATGTTGGACCTTCAACACCTGTTACGGGGGCCTCACAATTTCATACTGACAAATCCAAAAATCAAAAAAAGCGTGAAGCGAACACAAATGCTAATAAAAATAAGAAACAAAAAAATAAAAGTAATCAAACTACTTTACATAAAGAAGGTATACGCATGAATCCAGCCGCAGCTTTAAATCATAAAGGTCGAGAACATAAATTGAATGCCAATAAAAAAAGTGGCATTAAAGAAATTCTGCAGAAAGGCCCGTTTGCTCAACAATCTCAAAAGTTATCCAAAGCCAAACGACTTGCAACCAAAAAACAAAAATCTACAGAAGTGCAAAACAAACGGAATCGTTTGGTTATAAATGAAACAATTAATTTGACTTTATCAGATGAAAGTACTGATAATGACGATATTGAAATTGTACCATTGCCAGAACCACAAGTTTTAGTTATTGAAGACAGTGACGATGATAAAAATAGAGCAGATGTGAAACAAAATATAACCATGCTGGAAGAAAATGCAGTTGATGCTGCTGATGTTGATATAAAAAATGTAACGATTATTGAAAGCAAAATCGAAAGA